ACCATGTAATCCAATCTTGACCTAGATCTCAATTTATGATATCCTAGAGAGTCTAGTTTCCAACTGTATCAAAATTGCAAAAACCTGGGCCTGCATAAGTAAAGAGGAAAAGCTAATTTTGAGGTGGATATAAGAGGTGCCAGCAGAAATACTCTCAAAATATTTTTTTTGCTTTTTTTTTTTTCCCCATCTTAACAAATCATTCAAATACCTGGATTCAGAGAGGCTAGAGCAAAAAATACACAATCCCTGAAAGTAATAACAGTTATTTAAGGTCCATAATATACAGGTGATAAGGCACTGCATAAAGCATCTAATAATACAGTTCATGATACCACTTAATAAACCACCTTACATAACTCACAAAGATGGACTGGTAACCAACAATCTGATGAGGCAGAAAATTGACGGGAGAGCAGCTCCATGGTTTGAGGGCAAGAGACCTCCAAAATCTGGAGAATCAATTGGAGATGAGTTTGCAAAGTGTTCGTCTGAAAAAGGTCAGACATCTATAGCATGCATGCAATATATGTTATAAAACCATCTTGACAGTTCAATTGAACCATGACAATAAGTCCTGACATGGTCATCTTTTCACCTTTGGCAGGAACAGATATTGAATGATGAAATAGAAGAACTAGGCAGAAGGGTAAATCTCCTTTGTTTGTCATGATTATATATTTCACAATAACTTCAGTTTTCATATCCACTTGGCACTTGCTTCTCTACAGGGGAACCTCATTTATCAGGAGAATGTGGAACTATACAAGAAGTTTAATCTTATCTGTCAAGAAAACATGCAATTATACAAGAAGGTATTCCAGTCTACTTACTAACACAAACTTCAAACATCTCAAACAAAATTCATTACCTATGAATTACATCCTAATACTTAACCTGACTTCATTAACTAGGAATTTGACTGAGCTTAAAAATAACGGTTCATGTGCCAGGTTTATAGCACAAGGGATGCAAGCACCTCAAATGGAGATGCCTTCACTCAATATGGTTTTGACTCCAGAGAGAGCTCACTTATCCCTATCAATCTCCGATTAAGACAACCTGAACATCAAACTTATGAGACATCAAATAGAGCTAAGGATTAAAGGTAGAAATATTGTCTAGAGTAAATCCTAAATTTCTTTTCGTTTCAATACTAATCCAATTATATCCCATGAAACTGCAGGATCATACTGAAGAACTTAGTGAGGAACATAGGCTCCTGTTTACTCACTATTGTCCTGGACAAAGAGATCCTGAGACTACAAGAAAATGACTCTCAAGGAGAAATAAGCTAGATAAATTGTAACAGTACAATGACTGTTCTGACCTGCTTTGCCACTGCACATTTAATTAGTATAGCCGGTCAGTGAAACCAAGAATCAAAATGTATAGGGTAAACTAAATAACAAAATAAACCCTTTTCTGTACAAAAGAATGATCTCATACAAGAAAAGGTTAATTATTTTCATTAACTTTTGACTGACAATTAGTTGAGAAGTCACAATATGGCTTTAATCTTGAACATAATCTAGATATGGAAATCTTCTTTTGGCCCATTCACATATGTCAGTCAATTTTGTTTTCTTTATATATAGTGTAAGAAAACTGACATCATTTCCTGTAATCATTATGTAGTATTGGCTGGCCCAACACACTCATGAACAAGCCAAATCCAACCTCCACAAAGGCAAGGGTTAAGTTTGGACTGGGGAAACTAAGGACTTCATGCATCATATTCAGCCCAGGGAAGTTCCAATCCGACTGGCTGTCTCAAATATCAAAAAACATGTGTCAACAAACTTCACTGTCTTAAGCACGAAATTAGAATCAGAGTGCAGTCCTACAACTGGATAAGGGGAACAGCTAATTTTGAGGCCCACCATTTTATGAGTCATGCAAGAAGAACAAAACTCAGGGCTATTTGGTGTATGGCCCTCTATTAAGCCAACATGTTTCTAACATTTGGAAGCTGTTACTAACAAGTAGAAAAAATGTACAACCTTGAGGAAAAACAATGCACATGAAGTTGAGTCTATCATTTATTAAATTCATGATTTTCTATCTTCTAGCACATTTTATCTACTTGATATCTTCATTTTGAAAATATTACTAAAGATAACAGGAAAGAAAAAAGGTTCTTTATTTTGATATTTGAAAGAGGGTGAAGAGAGACTTAGCTCACAAATTCAGAAGTGACTTGAATTCTGAACCTAAACATGACATGATGATGATATGCATGAAGTCGAGTCTATCATTTATTAAATTCATGATTTTCTATCTTCTCCCACATTTTACCTATTTGACATCTTCATTTTGAAAATGTGACTAAAGATAACAAGAAAAAAAAGGTTCTTTATTTTGATTTTTGAAAGAGGGTGGAGAAAGACTTAGTTCACAAAATCAAAAGTGACTTGAATTCTGAACCTAAACATGATATGATGAAAATTACTTGGCTCATTAACATATACAGAAACCTATTTTTCTGTACTGATAGAACTGCATGCTTCAATTAGCATTTAGCACATCAATAACACCCAATTATCAATTACATAAGAAGAATAATATCCAAATTATATTACGAGGTCCATATCCCTCTATAAGGCAAAAAAGTTCCATTCATTTGGTAGCCAGGGCTGACAACTAAAAACTAAAGAGTGAAATGATATGCAACATTCGTGAGTTTAGAAAATATTCCCCCAAATTATGTACCATTTAAGTTGAGTCTGGACACTGGACACTTAGCCTCAAAAGAATGAACTTAAGATAACCAAATAGATATACATATACACTAAGTCATTGACAAGGTTAAAGGAAGGTGCAAACAAACTTAGCATACTCACTCACTCAGTGAACACATCCAACTACTCTGTTTGGCAGTCAGCTTCTATCCTCCATTAGCTCTAGAAGAAACCTGGCATAGACAAAACAGTAGCTAATTAATGATTAATCAACCCTTCATGCAGGATTAAAGAAGTAAAACCAAAAACGTTTTTAATAAAACAAATCATGTCTCAGTATTTATAAATCAATGATTAAAATTATAATATGAGAAAGAATAGCTATACCTTAGAACTGCTACTCAATTGGTAAATTTATAAAAATCTATAATCAAATTCCACCTTTACTCATAGTCAATGAACAGAAGTGTTGCTAAAAGACAACTTACATTCATTAAAAACTTTATGCATGTTTGGTTAACCAAGTCCCCATATCTCGGTTATACACGAAAGTAAAATGAAATGGAATGATTATAAATAAAGAAATCAGTGTTTATCAGCTAGACCAGCAAAAAAAATTAGGTGAAAAAACACTCAAAACTATGTCGTTTTAATAAGGCACTATGAGAGAAAAGATTGAAACAGCCTCACTCTTGCTTTAAAAATTATGATGTTTTAGTCTTTTTCAATGGGACATTATTATTATTATTTTGATAAACAATGGGACTTTATTAAAAAAACATAGTTTCGGACTATTTTTCTTCCTAATTTTCTGCAAAAACAAGTTAATACCCCCTGTTAGGAGGTAAATAAATTAGTAGATTGCTTAACCGATTTTTGTTTCATTATTTTATTTCCTATTCCTCATTCTCTCAATGCTTAAGTTATTGCAACCTTATTAACTATTCCAATATTTAAAGAAAAATTAAGAAATTCTATTCAATATGGCATCTATTTCCTAGTACCCTACACGTAACCTTTAAAATCCAAACAAGATCTGAAATCAAATGGAAAACCCTTATAGCATGTTTGTTTTGGTTTGGAGGAATGAGTATTCTTAGTCGTCCAAACATAAAAACAAATGCAGATTTTAAGAAATTTACCCTAGGAAGCAGACGGAATAAGGTTGATAATTTTCTACATGCAAAGAAGATGATCCACCTAATTCCCTCATAGTCTATCAATCATACTTCTTGATTTTGCTCATTTTTTATGGTTTGGCTAAGAAATAATCATTCATCTAACCAAAACATGATCATAGTCAATACTCATCGAAAAACACATATTAAAACAACGTCAAATCAAATAAAAAAAAAACCACACATCACGACGGATTGAAATCGGAAAACTCTTACCTTCGGAGTAACAAAATGCATGCACACAACAAATTACAGAATACATAATCAAGAGAACAGCATTGAGAGAGGCGGGGAAAAGGTTGCAGACTCGCAGAGAAATTAAAGCACTAGTGTTTGGATCTCCGATAAAGATGAAAGGGAGGGAATCTGATGCTCGCCGGGCGGAAGAAGGCGGGAGAAGGAAAATATCAGGAGGAGAGTGGGGACTAAAAATGAGTGTGGAGATGGAAAATTTTGGAATTGCGGGATTAAAATGATTACACAGGTGTATGATATTCGAGTGTGCTGCGTGGTCCTGCTTCGATGCCTTGCTCTGTAAGCTCCACGTGTCAGCGTGCGGTGTTTTTCATTCGTTAGCTGTTAGTCACGCGCTGATTCCTCTGCGTTCCGAACACGCTCCGCTTCACTGGGTTGGGGCGATGCCGCGTCACAAGTGGGCAAGCAAGCGCAGTTTTAGTCTTGTGGGCTTTAATAATCAGTTAAGCCCAAATAAATAAAATGTGGGCCAGAAAAGGAGATTAAACAAAATGTCACTGCGGCACCTGGGCCGTCAGTCCATTCGCTTGTGAAGGTGCACCAACGAAAAGTCATAAATGTCACTCAAAGCCGCACTTTTTAAATTTTGAGCCACGGATGTGTCCAGGAAAGTCATGAAATGAGCACAAATTTTAATGCAAAAAATAATTGATTACAATAGGATTATATCGTCACATGTGACCAATTAATATAGG